AAGAGGGTGAGTTCAGAGGGAAATATGTTGTTACAGACATTTCAATTGGCTTCCACTGAGCTCACATCACCTCAGCATCCCTTGGACTGCTGTGGCTCCCTGTAACTGCTTCACAGCAAAGGCATTTTCCCGGATAGAAACCTCCTTTGGACGAGGCCAGGCTCTGCCACCCATCCCTCGGGGTGGAAGCAGCCGTGGCCCTTGGTCCTTTCTCCCTGCTCACCAAAAGGTGCCAGCAAAGAGCTTTGGTTCCTCGGGCTCAGCTGCCAGCACTGCACACCCGATAACTGATTTTTCTTGAACGACCTGATTTTGGCATATTCCCCAGTGGGACCGGAGTGCAGAGTGAAGTCTTATTCTGCTGATCTGGATAATGTCATCAGATGGAGACAAATGATTTTTAAGCAGGCGTTTCTGCTAATTTCAGTGGTGAATTTTTCCAATTAAAAAAAAAAAAAAGAAAGAAAAAAGAATAAATCCCATGTGTGCCTGTGCAGGAGTGTGGTCTATAATATTTAAATTGCTATATCCCAAAGGCTGAGTACAATGGAGAAATCAACAATTCAGGAAATAGGGAGTGTTGATTTGAGTTGGCCTTGAAGAAATATATTCTGTAAAATCTTTTAAGGCAAGGGAAAGAGGCAACATACTTCTATGGAATCTTCGGAGTTCTAAAACCTGTGAGATTAACTGAATTTACAGGAGGAATGGGATGGCTGGATGAAAAGGAAGGAGATGGGAGTGCTTAGATGATGGTAAGGAATCCAGGCTGTGTGTTTGGGAGAAAAGTGGGGTGATTATTAAGGAACAACAACAAAATTTCAAGGGCATTTGGCCATTAAAGCTGCAGGGAAATCTGCAGAGGAACATTATGGATGTGCCAGGGCACTGTGGGGCCTCACACACAATTTGCTGCAGGCACACACCTGAGAGATTCAATAATTCAGCATAAAATTAACAAGACTTTCATGCATTGAGCAGAAACCTGTGTGTTCAACCTGTCCTTCCCTCCCGCCCCAGGAAACCCTCTGTCTGGATGGCAGCTAGGTAGTTTTCTGATCACTAATAAATTCTTCAAAAGGATTTGAAAGCAAGCTCACTAGAGCCCAGGGATCAGGTTGGTTCAGTGGGGCTGGAGACAGAGTAAAATTACAGTGACATCTAGTGATCACTAATATTTCACAAAGGTGCTACCAGTGGAAAAAGTAAACCTGTATGTATTATCAGTTAGCATTTTAAACACATAACACAAAAACTCAGATCATTAATGGAGGCCAGGGAAAGAGGTGGGAAACAAATGAGAGTAGATTATGTGAATTAAAGTGCTTCAGGGCTGACAGAGAGCAAAGTGCTGGTGCTGTTGAAGGGCTGGGGGTGGATTTCCACAGGGATCTTTCCTAGGTCTGCATTTCTCACTGTTTCAGCAGAGTTTGCTGATGGTACTAAATTGCAGCACATTCATATAAAAGAAACTCGACGTTTTGGAGACTGGGAATAGAACTGATAAAATGATGTGCAGTGTTGAAAGTATGTGCTAGTCCCCAGGGAGGGAAGAGCAGAATTAACCCTGTTCCAAGGCTGGAATATGTGGTGTGGCAGCAGCTCTGCCTCAGCACTGGACAGACACTAAGGAAAAAGCAAATAAAGAGGAATGCCAGCTGGGCATCAGAGCTATGATTCAGGTTTGCATCTTGAACCAAAGTGAGATTTGGGTTTGTACTCGGCAGCATTAGGAACTAACTGGTTTTGTGATGTTGATTGACTGTTTTCTACTCCAGGTCACTGATTGGCTCCTGACAGTTAAAAAAAAAAAAAAAAAGGATTTTTCTTCAGGTTCTGAGTCTGCCCACTTGGCCAGGCCAGGCTTCACTTCTGCTGTCCTGACCAAGTACCCTTAGGTATGAAAAATGGTACATTAATGAGCAAAGGATTAAGAGAAACTCTTTCTCTGAGGAGGATGGGGCAGGGCATTGCCTATTTACGTCTTCATTGTGCAGAGTGAAGAAAACTGGATCAGAAGTGTTAGCTGGAGTAACAACAGAGAGAGAGAACTGATGCAGTTGGTGAATTGATTTTGCAGATTTAAATCGGGTATCTTCGTGGCCACATAAATATGCAGGCAAATTTTCCTGTGATGAAACATTCAGGAGCTGCTTTGACAAAAGTTGAGAAGGAAGCTCTCAGCCAATTTCCAAGCCCTTCCCTTGAGCCCCCAGCAGCCAGGCAGGTTTAGTCTCTCAATTATTAGCTGAGAGCAGAATATACATTCCCACCGTCTGATTTCAGATGCCGCTGGAGAATTTCCCTCGGATAGATGCATAAGGGGAGAGACAGATCCAGGCACATCAGATGCTATGGCTGCCTCTGACTGTTGTGAGCAATAACCACAGAATGGGAGTTTATTAAAAATAGTAGCCCAAATTAACTACTGGGTTTCTAAGACTAGGTACGCGATTTTCTGCAGGGAAAAAATGTGTAGTGGGACTTCAGGTGCTGCATTTCAGTAAAGATTTTGATGCAACGCTGTCTGGAAAATTATTAGCTATGCTGGCATAGACAGGAATTAGAAGAATAATTGCAAATTGAGTAAGGACTTGGCAAAGACAGATGAGGGGACTGGTGATTGCTTTGGTGAGGTTGTTTAGTGCTTTCGTGGGTGATGAAGGGGATAGGGTTCACTTGCTGAAGGATTTACAGACCTGCTCACCCCATCTTCCCTGCAGGGCTGGGGAGCACCTGGTGCCCCCCATGAAAGCTGGAAAGTGAGGAAAAAGGACATTGCAGCTGCTTTGTCGAGTCCTGCTACATCTGGGAAATTTCCCAAAGGGTTTGCAGAGCTCTGATATTTCAGCAGAAAGCTTTCCTGAGTTGAAGGTACTGTCCTCCACCACCACCCCAGGTTCAGGGTCCCAGACTCCAGCCCCAGTGACAACACTGTATTTGTCATCATCACATTTGCTCTGGCCCAGGGGGATGTGATCTGTGCTGGGAGGAGCTGTGCTGGAACACGAGGTGCAGCGCCTGGCGCCGGCCGGGCTCCCAGCACAACTGCTAAGAAAGCAATTAAAAATAACATCACTGTGAATTGACAAATCTACTGTTGGGTTTGGTCTCAGAGGGACTTCACAGTGTGTGGCTGAACCGTAGGTTTTTCTCCATGACAGGTCTATTTATTTTAAATAGAGGAACAGAAGAGTTGTGTCTCCAGATGCTTAAAAAGCAAGTGGTTACTTTTCAAGGACTATTTGACCAGAATTTCATACTACAACTTCTATTAAATAAAGGTGTGGAAGGTGGGTGACAATATTCCAGTATGACAGCATCCTCAGCATCTGCCAGTGAGGAAACATTGACCTGGGTGCAGCATCTATTTGCAATGGTTTGATGAGGAAAAGAAAGTACCATTGCCATTGCACGGAAATTACTTGCCTTTTACCTTATGGGATGAAAATGCCCAGGGTTGATGTCAATTTAATCAAGTTTATCATTTCACAGCAAAGGCCATTCACTAGTTCATATGATCAAGGACCAAATTGCTCCTTGCTAGAAAAAAAGGTAATAATATTGTGGGTAACGTTTGAGTCAGCACAGCAGGTGTGGAGCTGTTTTTTGGGAAAGGGCTGCTTTTTGGCATAGCTTGATTCATGGAAGATGATTAGATTCAGCAACTTGAAATTTTCTTTTTAAAAGGTTCACTCAGCTCCCAGCCAAGCGATGCAGAAGTGGATGTGATTTGAGATCCCACCAGCTATGACAATTTACCTGGAATTTCTTTCCCCGCTCTGCAATTCCCGCACTGACCTAATCTAAACTCTGCTTCCCAGCTTTCAGTCCTTCCCAAAGCACTGGAGGGCTGCATTCCTCCTTCTATCCCTCCTTGGATACTGCAGTGTGCAGGCTGCCAGCCAGCAAATCCACAGGTGATTCTTCCCAACTCCAATTGCTCCCTTCCCGCTCCAGGTGTGAATAGTTCATCTCTCTTCTTTCCCATACACTATACGTGGTGCACAGTAATTTGTGCTGTACATACCAGCTGTGGACATACCAGGGAGGCAGAAAGAAACAGTGGAAAGTGTATTTACATGTGGATGAGTTCCTGCAGTGCCACTTGGAAGTCACACCTGTGTCCCCCATGAGCACATTGCAAGGACGAAAGCCAAAAAAATTCCAATAAAGGTAAGTTTGGGGAAGTGTTTTGAATCCAGAGCATCTGTTCTTTCTTTTCCCCAGTTGCACTCCAAAGACAGCAGTGGAGTGGCAGCAATACATTGTCATCCCAAACATATATTATTTCTGTGATGCATGTTAGTACATTGTAATGAAAATGTGCTTTCCAAAGGCACAGTTGCTTTTTTCCCCTTTGCTGTCACTGTAATGTTCTGTTTCCTACTCTTCACTGAGATAAAAGGTTTCCCTCCCACCTACCTCCAAAAAAAAAAAAAAAAATTCTGAGTAATGGGAATGACAGAACTCGTGTAATTGTTCCTGCTTTGCATGCTTCCAGGCTGATTGCCTGAATTATGACTGATCCAAATTCCCACTGAACTCCATGAGAGTCTTTGCACTGGAACAGCAGTTTGGTGTTAGAGGAGCTTTTTGGAGGAGCAGGCTCAAAGCCAGGAGAGTGGAAGCAGCATTGCTCCGTGGCTGTGGTGGAATGAGGACAATTTAACCCTGCTGAGGATAGGGCCTGCTAGTTTCCCTGCTCATAAATGGTGATTGTTGCTGCATTTAGCCACATGTAAAAAGATTTTTTTTTTACAGCTTATAAATATATATATATATATAAAATATATACGGTATATGTATATATAGATCACCAAAGAAATTTCAGAGGCTGAGTGAATGCTCATCACCCCCCTGTATTCATACACATATAACTCTCCTTTGGTTGTTGTACCTCTTCATTTTTAGGGAGTATTTTCCTCTTAAAATATCTTGCAACAATAATTTTTTGGTGCCACAATATGGTGCACAGGCTGGAATACTCAGCCATTTCTGGGCCTGACAGTGATGGAGACTGTTGACTTGCAAACCTTCTTTGTTTGGCAGCTTATACCTAAATGGGTGGAATTATGTGTGCTCAGGTCACAGGCTATTTTATGTATTTGATTAGCAACTGTACAGGGTTTTTGCAGATGATCAGCTAATTAATTGTAACAGGATGTCTTATGTTGACTTTTGGACTAGACCAACATAATATCTATATTTCAAATGAGACCTTTTTTCCCAGCACAGGAGAATGCATTGCCCTGCAATTACCCAAGAGGTACCTGGGTAGCTCCTGGGTACTGGTAACCATGATGAGTGCTGGACAATAAAGGTGAAAATGTGGTGAAATTAAAGAGTTTTAAACAGTATTTCCCCACAGAACATCTGCTTTATTTGCAGGCTCTGCCATGGATGCCCATTTTGCCCAGCTGCAGCTCTGTAACAGCACTTCAGCCTTAAATTTTTCCAAACTTCTAAATTTTTCTCTTTGGAAAATATCCAGAGTAGGCTTCTGACAGCGTGATGGACAGTTCTCATTGGGATGTGTGAAATGAAACTGTCTCAGGGTCCAGCCAGCAATGCTGATGCCACGCTACATATTACACTGTCATACTTTCATTAGGCAGTGACAATGTAACATGATGATCATTATTAACTGGTTAATTATGGGAGCATTTACACCACCTTGCTCTCCTTGTCTTCTTCATCCTCCTCATCAGTGCTCTCCAACACTTTGTCTCCAAATGCCAGTAAAGCCATTGCTACCATGGCTTGGAGCCTCCCCAGCTGCTCGCCAGCTCTCACAGACACAGCTACCAACACGTTCAGAGAAACCAGCACAGCTTTCCTTTCCAGCCTTCAGAACTTTCTCCTCAGCATTTTCATGGTTTGACAACACCGCTAGCATCTTCCAGGAGAAGAGGCCCACGAGATGGAAACAGGAAGGGCATGTTGAGGGTGCAATTATTTCTTGTGAAATGGAAGCAACTTCTCCTTCTTCCTAACAGGCAGATGCTTTTCACCAAAGCACTTACTTAAAATGTTCTATTTTTCCTTCAAAACTTATAGGAAATAAAGCCATTCATGCAGAAAAGCAGATTGTTCCCCCTGTAATGGAATTTAACTGAATTACGACCATTTACATGTAAGACATTTACGCTGAAACCCTCAGGGATGGAAGAACCTGCAGACCAACATGGGCTCCTTGCTCTGCATTGACAGCCTCAGATTTGGCTTATGTGAAAAACCTCATACTGGCAGGGCAAAATAAACAGAGGAGATAAACTTTTGACAGTCACCAGACCTCAGAAAGATGCCTCAGACAGCGGAAACACTAAAATTGAGATTTGGTCTCTTCTCCACTGAGAAAAAGCCAAGAAATGTCCAGCACAGTTGCTCCCTTCTGTAGTCCCATGAGCAAAAGATGCTGCTGTAGTTGCAGACTCATCCTTTGGCCAGTGGGATGGACACGACCCAACTGCATGTGGTGGATGTTGCAGATACAAACACAGAAGGATATGTAGCCACAGCTATTTGATATCTAGAATTAAATAAGGAAGGCGATGAATGTCAACCATGAAGGAGTTTTGCCATTATTAATATGTTTATAAGCGTGAATATTGTTTACCAGTCTTGGACTAGGTCAGCCTGCTTCTATTAAATTCCTTTTGGAAATGAAAGGCAAGAGCCAGTCACTTGGCTCAGGGTATGCAGTGTTTCCCTTTCCAGGAGCTCAGTAGGATCTGACCTTGTGTTAGAATTTAAGATTTCATACTAATTCCATTTAAAGCACCTCAATTGCTTTATTATTTTAGAAGTCTCTTTTTATAATCTTCCCATCAAAACCAGATAGTTAAGTAGCATACCAGATAATTTTTATATTAAGAATTCTGGTTATAATATGACATAATCTAATATAACTTGCTTTGTTATATAGTATGCCATAGAGGTGATCATAGAAGGGAGCAGACCCTTGACTTTTACCCCAAATAGGGAATCTAATGCTTTTATTTCCCCAGGGAAATATTGCAGCATATAATACTCCATTAAAGCGGGGAGGGAGGGATATTTGATGAGGCCTCTCAGGAGAGTTAGGATGAGAGGAGGATTTCAGTATTAAATTAAATGCTGTCAGCAGTTTAAATTTATAAATAAATAAAATTGAGTGCAATTACATTGAGGATCTTCTAGAAAAAGCTCAGGCAGCTTCAGCTCCTGCCACGGGAAATGGCATCTCAGTGTCCAGGTGGACAGCAACGTCCTTTCCAAGGACATTCCCATTTGCACATTCTCTCTGTGGTCATGTTCTCCACAACCCAGCTGGCACAGTGCTGAAAGGCAAAGAGACTTCATCAAGGCTTTGGGATCAAGATCAGCCTTTCCTTCCCTTCAGTGCTCCCTGACAGAGCTTTGCCCTGCGATGGCCTTAGGCATGCCTGGGGAGGGTGGTTTTAATGGCCTGAGGACCAAAATGTGCAGGATGGGAAGAAAAAGCAGAGTGATATGCAGGAATAATGGCATAGGGTAGTGAGTTGGGATGAGGATTTGAAAGACATGGAAGAAAATGCTCAATATCATCCATGTTTTAGGGAGAGGAATTGAGAAAAGCTGAGTATCCAAGCCCTGGGGGAAATGGGTTTCGCTCCTACTTGGTTAGAAAACACTTGTGACTTATGGGACCTCAAAATTAGCTGGAACAGATCCCCAGCCACTTCACCTGAGGGAGTACAGCACGTGTCCACATTTGACACCATCTGTGGTCCCAAATGACTCCGGGAAGGAGCACAGCCAGGTCTGCTCACACACCACACAGTGATGGGTATCAGGGCTTCTTTCAGCGCAGTTCCCACCAGCACTGGGGTCTGGCTGCTCAGCTTTTGGCTTCTCTCTGTCAAAACGAGGGGCTCCTAGATTGTGGGATGAGAAGGGATTACTCCATGTACAGCATCTGCCCAAAGGAGCCTGACAAGGGCAGGTTATCCATTCCTCTCAGTGCCTCTTGGCTTGGGCATCGGTTCTCGCTTGTGGGGTCAAACACTGGCCACTGATGGGATGATAAAGAGCCAATTTTTGATATGGGAGTGGAGCTGTGTAATGGGTTACCACAGATATCTCCGTTTCATCTGATTTATTGTGTCTGCTTCATCTGATTTATTATCTCTGCTAATTATCCCAATAAATCAGTGTTTGAATGGAACTTGCCATTGATACTAAATGTGAAGGACTGGCATTACTTTTGGAGAACTAACAGGAAAAAATCCAGCTGTGTATGTCAGAGAATGAATAAGACTTCTCTTGGCAAAATGCAAGCAAAATTGGTGGATACAAAAGCAACAAGAAACATGGTGAAAGGATGGATCTCCCTGATGGCACTTCATAGCCACCACTTTGCCAAAAACATCTTAACCACCATGGCATCCACAGGTGATACCTGTGGGCAAAGACCAAAGAAGAGACACTGCTGTCCCAGTGCTTCCTTATATTCTATGACATTTACAGTAATCAAAAAATACATGTAAATCACAGAGAGCAAACAAAGCAAAGGCAGTGCTGAAGTTCTCGTGCTGCTGACTGGGGCAAGGGGGTTGCAGGTGCAAGTTACTGCACCGAAATCTTGCTGATTTTCAGAAACTGTGCAAAATCCTTCTCAGGCTGAACACGTGCAAGATTTATTCGCCACGTTTCCAAACAAACAGTAACCTAATACCTGGCAGAAAAAAAAAAAGTGTCACCTGAGTGCATCCAGCAAGCTACTGGAACAAAAACATACCCTTCTGGTGACAGCCTGAGCTGGCCCCCACAGAGACAAACAGGTGAAAATGTGAAGCAGCCTCTGCTCTAACTGCCAGGTTTGCACGTGTGTCGAGCCACTGCTGCTGGCTTTGCTGGCTCACTCCAGCTCTCACGCTCCACCCTTTGAGGTTGTTTGGTTTGTTGGTTTTCTTTTTTTTTTTTTTTTTTCAGCTTTTGCAATCTGACAGAGGCGGGTGAAAGCAAGTTCAGGAAAAAGACATTCCCCTGAAGAGCAGCTGGAGAGCAGTCCTAGCCCTGCCTGTGCTAGGCAGAGCACAGACAGCCACTCCACTTGCTTTAGCCTAGAACCACCCCCCCAAAATTCCGGAGGTATCCTGGTGCTTGAACTGATTTTCCAGGTAAGCCTTTATTTTAACCCCTGGATCTTTGTAGCTGAGCGCTGTCTAACCAGGAAGTTAAATCCGGCTGGAGACAAAACACAGCAGAAATGGTGTAAGGGCAGAGCAGGGAGAGCTCAGCTGCTCACTGTCGTAGATACACTGGTTTATTTACTCAGCTGTCTGCCTGAAGCAACTCGGGCATTTGTGCCATCTGCCTTATTTCAGTTCAAACAGCCTTATAAACACCTGCAAGAGACGGACAGACAGACAGACAAAGCCCACAGCAACATTCTCCCTGCAAGTAAAAGTTACTACATGTGTTCTGCCTGTTGTGGTAAAGGGAAAGGAAGGGAGAAAGAAAGGGAAAAACAGCTCATTGCTGGTGATGCTGGTTAAAATTCACATGGCAACAACTAAGCTTATGCCAAGTTTTCAGAAATGAATAGAATTGTAGTTCTGGGGCTTTGGGGAAAATCTTGGGAACAGGCAAGAGTTGAACAAAGAGAATGCCCTAAATCTGATGCTCTTAACCCCACAGTGGATCACTCAGGCCTGCTTGTAGGATGTTGAAACACAGGAGTGGACATGATGCAACAGTTAAGAGTTCTGTAAGGCTTCTGTCTTAAAAGGTGTGGGGAGGCAAACCAAAACATCTGTTGGTTCTGCCAGGGTATTGCACCAAATGGGAATTTTTAATTCCTTTGTTTATGTACTGAAAGTATCATTCCAAAATTCCCATACAATTTTGGCTGTGCCATTTTTCATCAGATCGAGAATATAATCCTGTTGGAACTGTTGGAGTTTATCTTATGATTTTACTTTGAGAGTTGCATACAGGAACTTAAGAATATTTTGGGAGCTCTTGGGTCAACAATCTGAACAATATTACTGCATACTTACAGTTGCCTGAATTTTTGCAGTGCCTGGGGAGGAACAACAAAAGTACTTGGCTCCATCAAAATCCCATTCCTTCCACAGAGGGCTGGGAGGGTTTGAGCTGCTTTCCACCCCCATATTTATGAAACAGCCTCACACTGAGCCCTCTACCATCCCAGGGTGGGGCAATGCCTGTTCCCTTACCCATGGGCAGACACCCACTGCTGGGGTGACCATGAGTAGAAGGAGCAAATGCATCCCAAAAAATGATGCCAGAAAATCTGAGAGCCCCTGAAACTTGTAGTTTTGGTCCAAACCTTGGAGTCCTCCTGCTGCTGGCATGGGGCTGTGATTAGCAGAGCTGGGGAGCTAAGCTGTGCTGGGGGGAGGCAGTTCACAGCAGATGCAGCAAAAAACCTCTCACAGCTTTTTCTGCCCTAAAGCAGCCTCTTGCACTCCAGGTCACATCTGCTACTGCCAGCACAGAGAGCAGGAGCAAGTGAGACCAGCTTGTGCTAGGCTGCCTAAATAATGAAGAAATACCACAGCAGGACAGATTTGTTTCATGTTTGGTTGCAGAGGAGGCTCTGGATTGCTCTGCAAGAGTGGGAGGGTTTGTTTTCTGCTTCTGCTTCGATGAGTCAGACCATGAGCAGTTCAGATCTGGAGAGTCTCAGTTCCTATCATTTCTAGCAGGGAAACATCTCTGCTACGGCTTTTGTTCCTTCCTACGGAGATTTGTAGCTTTGCTGGGCAGGAACTCTGCTGAAATGTGCTTAGCACAGCTGGAGCCTCTCATCACAGCTGTAAAAGAAGCAAATAAAAATAACATTTGTGCTCATCAGCAGCATCCCATTGGCTTCTCTCAGTGCTAATACTCAGCTGCCTTTGAGACAGACATTAGTCAAATCCTGCTCCTCTTCCGAGCACCCCATTATAAGGAATGGGAAGAGCCTTCCATCACTTCTGACACAACCTATTATTTTTTCCCACCCTTCTCTCAGAGGCAGAATGGACATCAAGGAATATTTTGCCAGAATTTCTTACCGGGGCTCCCACAATAAGCCAGACCTGGGTACCATGTCAGATATATTCTGGCACCACATCCAAGCTGTCCCTTTTGAAAACCTCAGCATCCACTGTGGGGAAACGATTGAGCTGGACCTGGAAGCGACCTACAACAAGATAGTGAGGAAGAAACGTGGGGGCTGGTGCATGGAAAACAACTACCTTTTGTCTTGGGTCCTGAAAACTCTGGGCTATGACGTCACCCTTCTGGGAGCAAAAGTTTATGTCCCGGAGCACGATGCCTACCCAGAGGAAATAGATCATCTGCTGCTAAAAGTGGTGCTTGATGGCAAATCCTACATCGTGGATGGGGGGTTTGGGATGGCCTACCAGCTGTGGCAGCCAATGGAGCTGATTTCAGGGACAGATCAGCCGCAGACTCCCGGGGTCTTTCGCTTCCTGGAGGAGAGCGGGACCTGGTACCTCGAGAAGGTGAAAAGGAAGCAGTGGGTTCCCAACCAAGGTGCCTCCACTTCCCATAAAGTGGAAGATGAAGTTTGCCGTCGGATTTACCTCTTTACCCTTCAGCCACGAGACATTGAAGAGTTCAGAGGCTGCAATGCCCACCTGCAGACAGCGCCCGACTCGCTCTTTGTGACCAAGTCTATCTGCAGCCTGCAGACTGCCGACGGCATCCGGGCACTGGTGGGGTGGAAACTCACTGAGATGAAGTACAATTATAGGGACAATATGGATCTTGTGGAAATCAGAATGCTTGCAGATGAAGAAATAGAGAAAACACTGAAAGAGAAATTCAATATAACCCTAGACAAGAAATTTGTACCCGTCAATACAAGCAAGTTGTCTCTGTTCTAACTCACTGCCTGAATTATAATTCAATTCAGGTGCATTACAGGCAATTCCTCCCCCTCTTTCTGACAAGCATCTAAAGGTTGAGCTTTTCCCTTCCATCTACACCAGTGTAAAGCAGAACATACTGGCACGAATCTGGAAAAGAAATGGATTTTCACAACTATTCCTACATCTCTTTTTGATTTGGGTACAAATAACTCCTTTCCAGCTCAATCAAATCACTGTCCTCTATTTGTGCTTAGCGGGGAGCACACTCTGCCCATTCCCTACTCCTTTCATCTCTTAAAAGCTTCTCTAAACACACCCAGAGCAGCTGGGCAGAACGATGGAACTGCATGGCTCTTTCTTTATTACCTGGTGCTGCCACCTGGGGAAAATCATATCCACCTCTTAAATGAACACTATATTATTTTGGGAATTTAAAAGCCAGAAAAACAAAGACATCCTGTGCTGAGTTTGCTCCTCAAGCCTGTCCTTTTTGCTCCTGCATCCACAACACCCTCTCACGTGGCAGTCGGATGGTGTCACACCTGTGCTGCACCGTGAGAATACTTAAGGACAGGTTATTTATGGCCTAAAACAGATGATAAGAAATATTAGCGACAATTCTGTCTTGTTTCAGACTTTACACAACTCCTGTTCTCTGAGTGACATAACCAAAAAGCAGTATTTCTTTGAACTTAAAGCATTTCCTGAGCATTTTCTTTGCTACCACCCAGCAGCAGACTGCTGGGAATACATGTTCCTCTCGTCACTCTGAGTGTTATTGCACATTAATTATTATGGCTGAACCCAAAAACAGGCACAGAATTATTTATCTGAAATATATCTGTTCTACTGAGGATGTGTTTGCAGTGATACAAATTATATTGATAAAAGGAGAAACGATGAATCTTAATCACATACCTAAAGGCTAAGATTTCTAGTAGGAGAAATTACTCAAATGTGATCACTTTGCCCTTTGAGAAGATACTTGATGTTCCTTCATGTACAAATCTTGGAAGCATTACAACTATGCACTTATAATTTAGTAAATTATATAAGTGATTTACAGTTAAATAAAAAAAAAATAAATAAAGCATTGTGTGGTAGAATTATTCAGACATTTCCCCCCCCAAATTACAGCATGTATTCCCAAAGTAAAAAATGTCATTAATCACTGCAGTTGTCCTGATTATTTTTATGTGCTAATATTTTGCAGCGAAGGCTTTTAAAAACACAATAACTCACTGAACCTTTTTTACTTGGTATGCAGTATGTGCAGCTTTCTATAACTAGCAATTTATGGTGAATAAAAGCTGCTGCTGTTCTGCACGTTTAAAGTGTATTTCATAGAGACACAGCGAGCTCCCCAAATCCCCATCTCCCCAGAGTTCAAACTCATCTGTATGTGCTTGGCTGTGGGTGTGCAATAGTCCTTTATAGCATATGAGGCTCTCCCACCCCATAGGGAAATGAAATGTTAATGACATCCTGTAGTGGGTTGCAGAAGAAAAAGGGGTTTCCTATGGTGTGGACCAGCAGCTTGCAACACAGATGATCAGAAGGAATTGTCCCAGGATATGGCTTGTTGGTGGTCTGTGTCTTTCTGTGGTCCCTGCAATAGTGGAAGAGCTAAAGGAGCTAAACTCAGGAGGTTTGTCCTTGTAGCAGCCTGGCAGCTGGGGCAAAGCATTGGGATGCAGGCAAAAGTCCAAGCAGGTCTTGCAAAGTTGTGGGACAGGAGAAGATCCATGCAGAGTCAAGAAGCTCCATCCTTTGTGGGAACAGACATAGGAAACACCTAGAAGGGGCTGTGCCCGCTCTTCTCCCTGTACCTGGAATTCCATAGGCTAAGGGCAAGGAGTACAGAACCATAAAATCACAGACCTTTAAGATCAGAGTAGAGCATCACATCCATTGCCCCAGAGATTCGGCATGTGAAGGGCAATAACAGGGAAAACCACTTTCTTTCTGCTGACACATCTCCTGGACCGTGTGCCCCGGCCACTGCCAGGGCTGCTGCCCCTCCATGGCACAGCTCAGCACTCCTGGCCCCTGCTCAGCACACCCACAGAGGCAGATTTTATTGCTGAGCAACCAAATGAAACTTGCTGTTGGAAGGGGGGGAAAAAAAAAAAGAGGCTCTTCGTCTCCAATTGCACTGGTTTGTTTTTTCCTTGTCATTAACTTTGGAGGCAAATCCTTAAAGGCACAGCAGGCTCAGGGAGCACAGACTTCTCTGGGAGCAGTGTCCTTGCTGCTGGAGAACAGGGCTTCTTTTAGAACCCAAGAGGATTTAAACAGCTACCTGACTTGGCAAATCTGATCTTCTTACCTTGGGGAGGGCTGGTACCAGCCACGAGGAATACGTGTGATTAATTCCACAGCTGCCATTCCTATCAATGAAATAGTGACTTCTTGCCTTGGATAACTATCACTAGTCACTTCCAACAGGAATCCAGACTACATGAGTGTCAACAATATAAAATCTGTATCAAAATTTGCACTGTTTCTTTGCTGCTGTAGATTGGGAGCACCCATCAAAGGTACCCCATGGACTGAAGCCCCTGGGTGACCTGCAGGGTCAGGGATGGGTTTATAGGTTATAACCACTTACAAAAGTTGGTCATGATACTCATACTGCTTTTTTCCTTTGTACTTCTGCAGGGCTTCAGTTCTCATTCAGTAACGTGGAAGGTTAAAATCTACTCCATATTGTAAGCAATCTGGGGGCTGGATCATTTTAAGGCTCTCCGTCATGACAAGGCTATCTACACATATGCCAGTATAAATAAACCAATAAAACAATTAGAATATAAACTGCTTTAAAAGAAGAAATTCTCACCTCTTTTACTGCTGTGAATAACACTGAAAATAACACAGAGAATAACACTGTCCCTGACAGGTAGTAAAGGCAGCCTGGACCTTTAAGGGCAGCAGTTCCCAGTGCAGCTCTTCCTGGGAACTTTGGAGCAAACCAGCGTGGAAAGCCTGAGCTGACTGCCTGAGAGGTAAGCACTAAGTGCCTGATCTTTAACTTCACCCTGCAGTCTTGGGTCAGCCCAGAAGTTCAGTTTGGGAAAGCCCACCCCTGTGGCTCTGCATACCATGTGCTCGGCGCTGTAGGCATATTAGCAAAGCACAAATTACAGGAACACAGGGGCCAACAGCGTGTGTTGCATAGCAAGGGCGTTTTCCAAGTACAGCAGTTCTTTGAGAGTTTTAACCCCTTTATGCTGAGCCAGCTACTGACTCACATCGTGACTTAAAAATCAAACAAATAGCACAGGCACGTGCAAGAGGATCCAGCCTTTGAAGCCCCTCATGATTTTTAGCAGAGAAGAACTGTTGCTAATACTCACCCTAATTATGGAAGGACACAGGGATCCCCAGGGGCTCTTCCAGGCAGGCAGAACTAATGTCTGAATCTCACTACCCCCCAGGCTGCATGAATGCTGAGTGAAGCTCAGCTGCTGCACGAGCAGAGGTAAACAAGGCTGAACTGAGGCTTGGGATATTTGGCAACTCAGTTTTGGAACAAAAACTCTCCCCTGGGCGAGGGCTCGCTCACTGTGGCAGCCTCAGCGCTCGCACAGTGGGAATGGTGGTGCCAAGAAAAAAATCTGCCCTTGGGAAGGCGAGGGAGTAAACACTGATTTATGTGGGTGCTCCCTGATGTCACTGAGGATGTAGTGCAGCTTTATTATACTTAAACCTCTTTAAGTATTCATTGAGATCAAAGCACGTTTTGTCAGCCACCAAAGGCTGTCTCTGATCCAGCCTTTACACTGACGAGGCCAGAGAAGGGGCAGCTGGGGAAACTGCGGCACAGGTCGAGAATTTCCCAAAATGTGTTTTCCTAAAGCCTCACTGCCAGCCCCCCATGGAGGCTCTCCATTGGGAGGTTGCTCATGGATAGAAGAGAGGAACTGGTTATATGCGGAGCTCTCAGTGGAGCAATGGGAACACCCAGACCCAGGAGATGGGTTGTAGGGAGGGCATCAGGTCTTCTGCTGCTGGACCAGGGCAGGGACTCATTGGGTTTTTGCTTGAAGGCAAATTTCAATCGTATCACACCCACCAGGCCAATTAATGGACTCTCCTGGAGCCCTCTGGGTCACAGAGATTCAGCTCAACACCATCACAGGGAAAAGATGTTTCTATTTTGCTATGCAAAATCGCTAAAAGTCAGAATAGAAAGAAAAATAAACCAGAAGACCACAGAATGAACCTGCCAGCATACTTGTGCACTATGTGTTGGGGAGGGAATGGCTTCCTACAAGTCTTTCAAAGCAGATCCTGCCAGAGATGAGTGCCTTTGTCCTAAAAAAGGGATGGAAAAAAAACATAAAATGCAGTATCAAAGTGACATTACTGTTTTTTCATGTAGCCTTCTCGGGTCCTTTTGAAGTGAAAATGTTTGTTTCTTATTCCCTTATTGGAATAGGCCTCTATTCTATCACATTTTCCTGTGGCTTTGCATCAGCCAGTCTGAATCCTGGTACCAGTGCAGATCAGGAGCAACACAACTAAGTCATGTGAGTTGTGCTGCTGGCATCAAGGTTGGGGTTAAAGTCTAGAGATCAGGTCGTCTGACGTGCTCACCTGCTGGGGCGGGGGTGTTTCCACCCATGGGTTTGAGGTGGGATTTTCACAAGCTCCCAGCACTTCCTTGAGTGCTGGCATGGGCACGGGGTCAAACTGCTGGGGGGAGCAGTTGGACCAAAGCTGAGAATAGTCACCAGAAGGGAGTTTCTCGCATCTCACCTACATCAACTGATTTTCAGAAAATCTTCCCAAGGAACACGTGACCGACTTAGAGCAAGAAATCTCAGACTTTTTAGAAATTACTACAGCCCTTAGCAGATTGTGAATTGTTCTGGAAGACAAATATCCTTCCGTGGAAAAAAGCCAAATTAAATCTAAACTAAGGGAAAGAGAAATCCTTGCAGAGACCGGATGAGTCAGTGGATTAGAAGTGTTACAGGGAGCCTTTTGCACCTTGACCACACAGCCAGTACCAATGACAGCGTCTTTCTCATAATGGGATCAAAGACCTAAACCCACAAAATATTTCCAATAAGTCAAGCTAAAAGAGAAGGTTTTTGTTTGTACAAGATGGTAAAAAAACCCCAAAAGATGATGAATACACCTTGTATGTATTCTTAGTAATTACTAGTTCCTCTAATCCTTAGGTTAGAAAAATTAACAGTTCCTTCCTTTCACAGCCAGGGCCAAAGCCCTGTCTAAACTCCACAGGGAAATTTAAGAGATTACGAAAACAACAATCTACTTCACATGGAAGCCTGTCTAAAATGGTGACACACTGAGATGTTAATCCCAGTTAAATGAAGCCATGAATGTAAAACCTTCTGGTTAAATTACCTGTGGGATAAAGAAAGAATTGCTTACCTGGTAAAAGAAACAGTGGGAACTTGCTGTGACTTTTATGCTGGTATGGTCTAACAGCTTTTCTGCAAACCTGTTGTTTGCCAGTTTTAGAAAACTTGTCATGTGGGATCCTCATCTGTGGCCAGAGACTCTGTGGTGTGTCTTCCCATAGGAAAGACATCCACCTGGTTTGAAGGCAACACCTGAGAGAGGGAAAGCATTATTGTCACCTGCTCCCATCCTTGTCTCTTTTTCAAGAAATACAAACGGCAAAGGCAGGTCTAGCCTGCATTTGTCTCATATCAGGGGGCAAAAGTTTCTTTCAAGTCCTCAATAAAATGGCCCAGGCTATGTTTGCAGGCTGGTTAACCAGTGTTACAGAAATAGGAGTGAAGCCCTTGGCAGCTGCACAGCAGTAACTGGCTGTTTTTCTGCTCACACAGGCAAAATGAACATTCAAGAGTATTTCGGAAGAATATCTTACAACAAGCCCCATAAGGATGCAGACTTGCAAACCTTAAAAGCCATCTTCCAGCATCACATCCAGGCCATTCCTTTTGAGAACCTCAGCATGCATTGCGGGGAGACCATCGAACTGGATTTAGAGTCCATTTACAATAAGATCGTGCGAAAGAAACGTGGTGGATGGTGCCTGGAAACCAACTACCTTTTATTTTGGGCCTTGCAAGAATTAGGGTATGACGTCTGCATTCTTGGTGCGAATAGCTATGACCCAGCAGAGAGGGCATACACTGCTGAGATGAACCATATCCTGCTGAAGGTGGTGATCCAGGGAAACTCCTACATCGTGGATGCCGGTTTTGGTGGTGCCTACCAGATGTGGCAGCCACTGAGGCTGATTTCTGGGAAGGATCAACCCCAGGTCCCTGGAATCTTCCGCTTTGTGGAAGACAATGGCACCTGGTACTTTGAGAAGGTCAAAAGGAAGCATTATATTCCTGAGCAAAGTGAGACTCCTTACTTCACTGACACTCCAGGATTGGGGAACATCAGAAAAATACATAGATTCACTCTTGAGCCACGACATATAAATGACTTTCAGGAGTTAAACACATACCTACAAGTGTCTCCAGATAACATACTTCGGAAGAAGTCACTCTGCAGTCTCCAGACCACTGAAGGGCTCATTGGCTTAGTTGGATGGACCTTGACTGAGATGAAGTATAATTACACAGAGGACATGGACCTGGTGCACATCACAACTCTTACAGATGAAGAGCTTGAGAAGACACTGAAAGATAAATTCAATATAGTGCTGGAGAACAAACTTGTACCAGTAAATGTTCGTGGCTTGCCACCTAATTTAGTGGATAAGTTCTAATTCTAGCACTGTGCTAGATGGATCAAGTATCCAATAGAAAAGTTCTAAAATTAACATTAATTACATTAATTGATTCTGTAGTTGAACTAGACACAAAGCTTGGTAAATTCAAGTACCTTGCTAGTTAACTGCCTGTACTTTTTGCATAAGTTTTCTTAAGCTTCTCCCTCTTTGGAAACTAAGACATCTTACTACCTCTGATTTGCTCATATGGAAATTGCTTTTTGACTCCTTAACATTTTGTTCCACCTCTCTGGAACTCATTTTATCGCAGGTATATTTTGCATCAAAGGAGACCAAAATGATGCAGAAGGAGAAGCTCTTACCATTTTACACAGAAGACCTCTAACCCTCTTTGCTGTTATTTCCAATCTTCTCAGCAGAGTTTTACAAATTATTCACTTCCTTTAAAAGTCTGAAAGTTGAGCTAAATTTGGCTTTCAAAGACTTACTAGAAAAAAAGGAAGGTTAACAGTTTCTCAAAACAAGACACCATTAGGTGCTGATTAGCTTCTGATGAGATAAATTGAAAGACTTGATCCTATTCTTTTACCAGGAATTGACTTAAAGTGAGCTATTTATACAAGGGCATCTAAAACCCCCCAGAAGCTGTCTAATTTTGAGCATCTCATTTTTTCTGAGTCTGATATTTCTGTGTCTCTAAATCTGAAGCAAAATTCATAGAAAGCAAGATGATTCAACAGTTCTCAAAAATCAGGCTTTTGCTATCAAACCTGGGGAAAAAAAAAATCAAAGTTAGATCACCCTTTGCAAAATATAATCTCTAAACTTTTAGGACCAAACCTTCTTGTGATGTCAAGAGGGCATGACAGTATTATAGATAGAAGAGCATTGATCTTCAGCCAAGGAAAAGACTTCGATGCTTGTTTCAGTCAACCACACGAGACCCACGGAGCACCTGATGTGCCTAAAACTCAGGAGCTTTCCCAGATGCAGCCTAATGTGTTCTTTGCCTTCCCAAAAAGGACCTGCTCTGACATTCCACCTCCATCAAATGAAGAGGGGATGTGCTCGACAGGGAGAGAATTAAATAAGCAGCACCACAACGCTTTAAGGATGCAGGAGGAGGAAATGCATTACTTTGTGCAAATAAGTATTTGTGACAGTATTTGTTAGGTGTGGCAGCTCCAAAATAACTACCTGCTGCAGCTGAAGATTTGAACAGATTAAAAAGGGCAAAGAAGTGTCATTTTGTGCTTCCATGGAGCATGGGAACACCCAGCCTGCAATGCCTCAGCAATTCAGTGGACCCACCAGGACACAGATACCATCCTCCACCACAAAGTGCTGGTTTGCAAAATAATCATAATTTAATTTTAAAAAGTTACAAAGCCGTTTGCAACTGCCCACTGTAATTATTTTATCTGGAAAACAAGTTCATTCTGGTCTTAACCAGGGGAAGGCATAAACATCTACTAATAGAGAAGAAACAAAGTTTAATTTGCTCATGGATCAGTGAAGTCCAAAAATGTGCATTCGTTTTGGGTGGACTCTGCCCTTTCTTGGAATTTAAGATTCAGGAGTGAGGGCCAGCAGAGCTTAGAAAGACAACCCTCACAATCTGCATCCACTCCTGGCTTCACTGACTGTAACAAACCACCCAGAAACTGAATACCTCAATAAATAAAAAGGGATCTCTTAAGAGGTAAGTTTATTTTCTTAAAAATCCCTCCAAACAAAGCAACAAAACCCCTGCTTTCTTTATGATGGTAAAGGTCATGGGCAATAACATAAGCAATATTCTTTAGGAAAAATGTTCTAAAAATGTGTGGATATAGAGCTAAAATATCACCTGCTAAATAGGAGCTCTTAAAGAGGGCAAAAAAGTGACATGCAATTTCAATTCTTCTACCTTTTACTCTTCAGGAGAGGCTTCAATTGGCTATGAGATATAGATTCTTTTGTTTAGATACAATACTAGATATAAATACTAGATACAAATTTAGAACTGCAACCTCTTGATGGAAGTGATGCTTTGAGATTTTTAAATTTATTTAAAAGTATTGCAAGTGCAAAGGAAGCAAAAGTGCAATCTAATAATCAATAGATTCTGCTTTATGGGAATAAAAACAACTTTAAAAAAAATTACAAACTGCAGGTTGTGTAACCCAGAAAATCCATGTGCTGAGATATTAAGATAAAGGAAGACAAATAACATGTTTTTAACAATGGAATTGCTGACAGTGTGTATAGTCCTGGTAAGGAATATTTTTGCATGAGCACCTTCATTTGCACATTTAGAAACAGCTCTTTAAAGTTCTTCTGCTGATGTTTTTCTCTGCATAAATCACAGCCACATTTGGGGGGCTACCTTTTCAGCACCTGTCTTTGCAGTATCCTGCCCTTTCAGTACCTGACTTGCTCATAATTCAAAAGAACAGTAGCTTTCATCTCCTACAGTCCAGATCTAATGCTGATCAATCACATTATGGAGCTGCAGGGAGAAATTACAAATAATATGAACTCCAGAACCCGCTTTATGCAGGTGTGATCTGTTTAGCATTCACAATCAGAGCGAGTAGGATCAGATATACTTGGATTCTGCAAATCAAAAATGCCCTGAATCTTATGTTATACTTAGCAAATACTACATTGAGACTATCCTCCAACAATACACTGAGATCTCACTGGAAGCTAAATTCCTTTCTGCAGCAGATAAGTGTAGATTTGATGGTGCTCTCCGTGCCCTTTGGACAGCTGCCTCTACACCAGCTACAGGCACAGCACGAATCTGCCACTGAGAGTCATCTTGAGAAATTCTAGCTTGCAGTAAACCTTCAATGGTTCACTGCTGAATTTATCTGAATACAATAGTCTTCCTGAGCCACTAAGACGTGTCTAAACCTCAGCTTACTGTGTATGCACAAAAGATCTCCAAGTAGCTTCGTGTGCTGGCAAGAAGCTAAAGTTTTGCACTAGCTCTGAACTGCTGAAATGCTCAGTGCTCTCTTTGCAAAGGCTCAATCCTTAAAAACATTTTGTGCCCAGCTCCAGGTGCAAGCAGATGATCTACAGTGTATTTTACAAACAGCATCTACCAGATACCTACCAAGGATCCAGCTCATGACAGTGGCCAGAGACTGTGATGGGCCATTGCGAAAGCCAGATGAATGTGAGTGGCTTTTCATGGTATTAGAAGGCAGGAATGAAGCTGAGTAGTTCCTCATCCAGAAATCTTGTCCATGAGGAGTCCTACCAAGGCAGGTCAGGAGTCAGCACAGGCTGAGGTTGCACTGTGTGAGGCTTGGGTAATTCTCGGTCATGCCTTCTCTGGAAGGATTAAAGTGAGCTTTAAGAAAGGCCTAGAGAGGTGTAAAACAGCCCATGTCCACTTTCAGGGCACCCTGTGAGATGCAGGGCAGATGTGCTCTTTGTCTCTGGAGTCACTCACCTCCATTAGGATTCATTATTCCAACACCAAAAGGAGCTTCTACAATACTCATTTCTACAATAGACCAGATCAGTCTGTGACTCTTTCAGAGGTCAGAGTTTTTCCAGTTAAAGTTATCTGAATAAAACTTGACACTTTACAAAATGTGCAGGAGTATCATCTTAACTTTTTGTAAGTGGTGGAAGAGCGACGTGTACTGAACAAGCAATTTACTGTCATGTCGATCAGTGGCAGACTCATGTAAAGAGCTCAAATTATCCTCCCTCCAGCTGGCAGACAACACTGCTTCCCCCACTGACACTCCTTGCACTGAACAGAGGATTTAAACCATTCTTCATGAACCCCTGTACATACTCCCTAGCATGATCTTTTATTTCTTCTTAACCCTGCTGTTACAATGCAAATACAGCAAATCCCCATTTCACAGGCACCACATAGGAAGCTGAAAAGGCATCAGCTGTTTGCTATAGGGATGCCCCTCAGACAAAAGCAAACTCTCACATGCACTGCTCTTTGCCTGGGGAGCCATTTGATATGAATACTTGGTACCTTTAAGAGCTGCTCTGATGAGGTTCAGTAGATTAAAGCATCTTTGCTAGCAGAGCCAGGGCAGCTTTTCACAGCATCATAAATCACTGATGTAAAGAAACCAAACCAAAACGCAATTCCTTCCTTTACAGGTGACATGAACCTTGAAGAGTATTTTGCAAGAACTGGCTATAAAGGCTCCCTTGAAAAGCAAGATTTGGAAACCTTAACTGATATATTCCAGCACCACATCCGTGCTGTTCCCTTCGAAAACCTCAGCATCCACTGCGGCGAGAAAATTACTTTGGAACTGGAGCATGTTTACAACAAAATCGTGCAGAGGAAGCGGGGGGGCTGGTGCATGGAAAACAACCAGCTGCTGGGCTGGGTCCTGAAGTGCCTGGGGTATGACACCAGCTTCCTGGGAGCATATGTGTTCAACCCCCACCAAAACACATATGCCACCATCATGACTCATCTCCTGGTAAAGGTAGTCATTGATGGCAAAGCCTACATCGTCGACGGAGGCTTTGGCGTGTCCTATCAGATGTGGCAGCCCATGGAGCTTGTGTCGGGGAAAGACCAGCCCCAGGCTCCCGGCGTCTTCCGCTTCACGGAAAAAAACGCCGTCTGGTACCTTGAGAAAATGAGACGGAAACAGTGTATCCCCAACCAGAACTTCTCTAATTCTGACCTGCTGGAGAAAAAAGAGTGTCGGAAGGTTTATATGTTCAGCCTTGAGCCACGGACAGTGGAAGATTTCCGTTTCCAGTGCACATACCTTCAGACCTCTCCAGATTCCCTCTTTACAAAGAAGTCCATCTGCACCCTCCAGACCACCAAAGGCTTCCGAGCGCTAATTGGGTGGACGTTCACTGAGACCACGTACAACTACAAGGAAAACATGGATCTGGTGGAGTTTGTAACTCTTGAAGATGAAGAGGTGGAAAAAACCCTCAAAGAGAAATTCAACATTACCCTAGATAGAAAACTCGTCCCAATTAATGTTAAAGGATCTTACACAATCTAGATGATCAGGAAAACCTACAACAATGCTACGTAGGTACAGCACCTTCCACTGTCTGTGCAATCCCTTCTGCAAGGTTATGGGATTCATTTACAGGTGACTGAAAGACAAATACAGTAATATGGGATTAAAGTGACTTTCACTTCGGGAAAAATTAGGAATTTAAGACTCTTGAGTCAGTCAGATAGAATTATTTGCTGTGAGATGACTGCCATTCAATTTTTGGCACAAACGTAGGATCTGATTTGAATCTGGTTATAAGCTTGGGTAAGAAATATGTCTGGGGTATATTGGACTGCCTGTAGCACACAAATAGGAGTATGGATTATTGATTGTGATGTGCTGCCAACACATTTTCTGTGGTTATTATAGGGAGACAAGTCATCTGTGAGCATTTAGACAATGAAGTACACATTTAAAACTTCATTTTTCATAAGATCCGACCACTCACCACTCATGTCATTTCTCTGCCTTTGTCATCTTTGAAAGGAGCATTGGGAGGCATAATTCTTTCACCATCATCCTTAGACAAAACATAATACAAAATGAAAATTATCATCATGTGCATCCTTTTGGCCATTACTGCAGTAAACTAAACTACCAAAAAGTAATTTTTGGTATGTACAGATTTTTCTGGTGATGAAAATTCTATATATTGCAGTGCTATAGTGGCTGATGGGCTCTAAGGAGATAACTACAAGCTTTGCTTCTGATAAGTAATCATCCTATAAATGGTGATTAAACGTCACAGCTGGCTTAGATTTACTTTTGTCCCAAAAGGGGTAGAAATGTTGTATTTTTAGTATTTCATTTTATTTGTATAACAAAGGTAGAACAATGAAGCTAAGCCCACTATATCCTTAATTCTCTACTCTCTGTGTATAGCAAACATAAGAGTCCATGTAGCTGTCCTGCATGGGAACTGCTTAGCACAGGAGCTTAAATGTCACAAGGGAGTTTGCTCATCTGTATCAAAGTGAAAACAAAACCAGGAGCCAGCCAAATCTAAAAGAAACTCTTTCTTTTGAATTATTTCACAATCACGTTTCCTCATTTTTTAAAAAATATTGTTCCTCCTACCATGCTTCTCTGCAAAAAGCCCAACCAAGGGGAAACATTCTTAAATACATACAAAAATAGCAGAAGCAGTGAAAAACACTCTTTCTCCCCAGTCTGAGTATTGGTCAAATGTTGATTCCTCCCACTGATAGTGTATTTTTGCTCAAAGGCATCACCTGATCGTTAATCTCACAAATGCTGTAAGTGTATACCAGAAAATAAATAAAAGGAAAATAAAATCATTAAGAGTTGTTTCAAGTACAGCTGCCCCCAGCTGCATGACTCCTGCACACACCATCTGCTAAGTGGGGTCTGTTCACTCCTGATACCGACCTGCAACCCTTCCCACCTCAAACTTCCTTGGATCATTAAGGTTGGAAAAGACCTTTACGATCATCAAGTCCAACCCTCAAACCCAGCACCAGGTTCACCATTAAACCCTGATCTCAAGTACCACATCCACATGTTTTTTGAACTCTTCCAGGGATGGTGACTCCACCACTTCCCTGGGCAGACTGTTCCAATCCTTTACGACCGTGGTGGCAGCTGATGGCCTGGGTGCACTTGTCATTGCCCAGGGATGAGGAACTGAGGACCAAGCAAGAGGTGATAGGGGACACAGAGATCTTACTGAGGTGAGAACACAGCTTTTCTATTAATAATGAAACTATGGGATTTGTTGGGTAATTTGTATTCATATTATTCTCTTATATTAAGGTCCCATTAAGGGGGTTTACCCTTTTCTAAGTGATTGATAATTACAAGGTGTTCCCTGAGACCTCAGGGAACATTACAAGCTTCAAAACACTCACCACCTCCATTCTAACTGATGGAAATTCCCATCTGCACTCACCCAGGTAACCAAACCATATATCTGTATGCAGTGAACTACAGCTGTTTTCTGGTGCTGCTCCCTCTTGAGGACAGTCATTAACAGGGTGGTTCTTCTGCCTCCCAGCTTCTCTAGAGGTGTTCCTGCTGTTGCTCCCAGATAATTGCTTGGGTTGTGATAATACAAAGGTTTCTTGAGCAAAGGTCTGTGGACTAATATCAGCATTTTTAACTGTGCCTCCAATAATGGGATTCAACTCCCTTCTGCTGTTCAGTTCATATTAAAAATCTATGGTGACTGAAGCTTCAACCCTCTCCTTGACTGTTGATAACCACTCTGAGTGGGATTTCTCCTCTTGATGTGACAATTATAAGCAGGTCCTCACTGTGCAACATCAAATCACACAAATAAATGCCAACACATACAGCTAACAAACAGGTTCACAGTTTAACCAAAGCTGCCCAAAAGCTGAGGAAAGCAGGTTATTGAGGTGTGAATGCCAGACCCAAAGTGCCTCAAAGGTGTGAGATGAGAATGTCGTAAAACCAAACAATACCAAACAAACCCGGGGGCCTCATGCTGGGGTCCCATTAGCAAGGTATTATTGTACAAGCTGATGTTATCCCATCCTGAAAAGAAACACTCAATCCTTAAAACATCAGCTCTCACAGAAACTTGCATTCACATGCGGAAGGAACTGTGGGATGTGTTACATCCCTCACCACCACTCTGCTTTATTAACACTCTCTGAGAAGGGTTTAATAAGGGCCTAAACGATTTTGCAGTTTTAGTTGTGGACTGTTGTTGAAATGAAGCAAAACAAATGCTTAGAAACCTCCCCTGTGCCCCCAGACTTGTCTAATTCCAAATACAATTTAAAAGTATGGTATTCCAATTAAGAGAAAGACAAGACAATTTCTTTTCTAAGTCTGAATGCTGGATTAAGTCCCAGAATCCCAGCCCAGCTGCCCATTACACACACACATGCAATGCCCAGTGGCAATGACAGCCATTGTAGCATTGCATAATGGAGTGTTTGATTAGAAAACAAGACACAGGACAGAAGAAACACGGTTCAAACTCCATGGCACCACTGAACATCCGGCCCCTCCCCAAAGAACCAAAGTTTAATCAGCTCATGCATTACTAAAGGGAGGACACAGGATGGCTCACTTCAGTTGGACTCTGGTCCTGGACTTTTTAAGATCCAACACTAAGCAGAATAAAAGTAAAATGAGAAACATCAGCAAGAAAGACAACGTTTTACTGTTCAGTACTTCCATGGTTCCAACCCCAGAAATAAACACCATGAGCCTGCCAAAGGACCAAACTTGACCTGTCAAGGGACAGACAACACTGTGAGCTGTGAGCACCAACTACACCCACACTTTGCTTTGTTCACCCCAACAGGTACCTCGGTGTCACAGGCACAAACACTTCTGGTGCCTGGTAACACTTCACCAGCTACATTTTGCAGGGAGCCACTTTCCTTCATAAAAACACTACTTACCCAACTTTTGTTCTCACTTTTCATTTAGAAACGTGACCACGTGGGAAGGTTCTACAGCTTAGAAACTTGCACATGAAAATGCATTTGAGTCTGTGTCAGAGCCAAGAAAGCTGGAATTACTGTAGGTTCTCTTTATGAATATTTCACTGCTACACTTACATCTTTATCAAGAGTACTTAAGCACAGATTTTGTACAGCAGAATGTTTCCACCTTGGGTAGGAAGCTGGAGTCAGACTTATATAAATACACATATATATGTATTTATACAATTGGAAATGTAGATGGGTATTTCAGAAGATCCCATTATAATACACCTGCTTGTAACTTTGGGCACCTAAAGTACATTTCAAGTCATGTAGGGCTGATTTTTGGTTTTGTCTTGCTCCCAACAGTGCACTATGGATGGTGTTTTTAAAGGCACATTTTACAAACTCCCCATGAATAAAAGATTGTGCTAAAAATGAGTAGCTGCTCTTACTGTAGCGTTTCAGTAGCTCACTGAGCCACCAGCTAAATGTGAACAGCAAAGCCCCCAGATTTAAAGACAATAAACTGAAATCTACCATTTCTTCACAGTTGGTGCTGAACATATTTAGGAAACAGCAGAACTACCCTCCCCCTCTCCTGATTCCAAAATCATGGATTTTCTGGGAAGCTGTTTAGTGTTCACTCACGTGCTTATTCAGGCACCGTGCCACTCACCTTTCCAGCTACCCCTAGGGAAATGACAGGAAATTAAGGATCAACATATGCCAGAATGCCCTTTAACTGCTCAAAATTACCCCCCATTGGACTGGACAGGACGCTGCAATCCAGGTGCAGAGCCTTGGCAAAGGCAGACTTCACGTGGAATTCATCTGAGCCACCACTGTTATCAAAATAAGCCAAAAGCTCCTTTATGTTGCACCACCAGGAACTTCCCCAGTGCCCTGTCTCTCAGGACATGCACTCACAGTGACATCTCCTGGTTGGTGGTGGTTCACTAGAACATACTTTACCCCTCAACTATCCAGCACAGCCATGCAGAAATTCACTCTCCATTCAAGAAATGTGCTCAGAGAGAGAGAGAGAGGAATCATTTTCCTACTAATAAGCAAGAAAGAATAATGGGATATATTCCAAGTTTTTCTTGTGACGACCAACAATAAATCATTTCTTAGCTCAGGTCACATCTTGCATGGGAAGAAAAATGTCTTGCCATCATTAACTTCTTTTCAGCTAGCAATAATATATGATCAGGTTTTAAGTAATTGAACCAGTAGCATTTAATTAGCTCCGAAAAACTATCTCAGATCATGAATCACAGCCTTTCCACCTGCATGAGGTCCCCTTTCTAGGTTAAAAGTATATTTCTCTTGCCATGTGTGATCCATCTTGAATATCTAATGAGGTGCTCCTGATATATAGATTATAGTTCATATATCACATGCAAAATACAGCAGGACACAGTGTCTCCTTCCTTAAATAATTGAGTTTCGTGTCTTGCTTCACTGAGCTGCTAAAAAAAGAAGAAGAAAAAAAAAAAAGCCTCTTGTGTCCATGACAGAATGGCCACTCCTCACTTCAGTTTAACCCATTCCTCTTTCTCCAGAGAGTCAACATTAAGGATGAGTAACTCAGACATCCTGAGCAAATGCAGTAATAGCAATATTTTATGCTGAAAGGCATTTCACAGAGAACTGCTATGATTTTAGGCAAGACCACATTGACATTTTTCAGAGCACTGACTGACCAAAGGACATGATGTTTCCTCGTACTTCAGATGGCTTCATCACATGCTGAAAAAATCAGTGCACTCAACTACTATTTGGGACATCTGTGGCCAGCACAAAACAGGATCACTTCTTATATCAGACTGTACTAAGCATCTTTTTTTTTTTTTACATTAAATAAGCTAAGCCACAATCATAAACCACAAAAAATCACAGTTTTTATTCAGCTTTCAAGCATGTTTCTGAAGCCGTTATTACGCTTTTATGACAAGACTTGGATAATTATAAGATTGGATTTTTTTGCTGAAAAAGAGGCAAGATGAGCAAACTTCTTTTGGAAGACAGAAACTAAGACTCACAATCTGCTCAAATGTCAAATTGTAAACGTTGCCCAATATTTGGCTTGCTCTATAAAAAAAAAGTTGCACTACAAAATCCTCTGTTTTTAAATAAACTTTATAAAAAATAAAATTCAATAAAGTGGATTTTATCTCTCTGTTCTTCTCCCATCTTATTTTTAGCACAGTAAAAATAAAAAAAAAATCACAAACATGCTTCTGCTGACTTTTTTCAATTTGAAGACAGCAAAAGTTTTCATTTTCATAATAAAGAAAGCAGGGGAAGCTGAGCTGCCTTAATGAACTGGACACAGCTCATCTTTGCTCTGAATACTTCTTTCAGATGTTACCTTAAATTGTAAAAAACATGGCTGTCCATTGCATGTGACACTTGATCTAGTTATGCACAACATTTAAAGAGACTGGTGGGATTAGTGCCCCACGTTAAAAGCTGCTGAGGGAGGAAAGGATGTATGACATCCATCAGAGACACATCCACTTGGAAAAATGTCTGTCGTGGATGGCTGAAATTTCAGTGAGAACAGAACAGATTTACAAATCCACCCTTTACATTAAATAGCAAAATCTCCAGTCTCCAGTCCGTGATACTCTGTTTGGGAGGCATTAGGTAACATTTCTATTGGCTCCACTTGTGCAGTTGACATTAATCCTGAGGTTTTAAGAACATTTTCTTAGCTTTTTTCCTAGGTATTATGTTACTATTCCTATCTTCATCAACTTCCTCATCTTCATCATCATCCTTGAGTACACGTTGGTCTCTCTTTCTCAAAAATTTCTTCCCTATTGTTCCCACTAATGTTTCGTATCTGGAAAGAGAATAAAAAA